CCCAATATAAATGCACTAGAAGGACTTCGGATTCAGGGGAAAAATGGCACCAGGTAAACACCTTTTCACATGCCATTCCAGTTGACGACTCACGCTTGACGGTGAAAAAGTGTCGCCCAGAGGATGTGGAAAATAGTTGGTGCGAAAGGATGGAAAAAGTTCCCCCACGGACAGGATGCCGGATGGAGCTTTTTCCCTCCCTCCCCTCCATCCATGCGTGGCCTTTGGCACAGAACAAACACACTCTCACGTTTTAATATGTGATTTCGTATACCGTCGATGTGTGGTTGCATTATTTGGGTGTGGAAGCATATCAAATATTCATTAAATAACACCGAATTGGTTATTGATGAAATTGAAACCCACATTGACCAAACCTGGTCCCGATTGCCCCCCATTTGTCCCCTGACTCCGTGTGTGTGGAAACAATGGTATTTTCGTGCGTCCCATCCTTTGCCAACATTGCGAACCCCAGAAATGGACACAAATACAGTGGCTCGCAATTTTACTTATTTTCAATGTATCCTGACGCCGCTGTCAATTGCACAAAACATTTCAATATGGAATTCCAAATCACGAGTGGACGATGTTGCAGCCAAAGCTCAACACGCAGAACGCTTTTACATTTCCTGTGGCTTCCGCAGACAAGCTCTAACATGAATTGGCCCATGAATTTCATATGAGCATCGCCATGATCAAATTGAATTCAAAAAGCAAACCGAAGTCACCTTGTGCTGCACACTTTTCCACTGCACCCCAATGTGGAACAATGGAGACGCCTGGTATTCATCGCTTGAAGAAATATCATGTGGAAAAAACACACACCAAATTAATGGTTTTATTGAGCGAAATATAACTAAAAGTTGAGCAATTAAAAGAGACTTAAAAATCCACATAAAAACTTCCCCATTCAATGAGACTCTCATTAGTGTGAAAAGAACCAAGAAATGAGGTGGGAAACTTACAAGAAAAGTTTCGCTGAAAAAAAATGTGCGGGAAAATTACAGCGTAAAAAAGTAGTTTTAGTGTATCCTGAGGACTTAATTATTAAAATTTTTCACACATTACTTAACACAAAATACCAAAGACAGGATATTCTCTCACTACACTTTGAGTTGAAAAATTATAAGCATGATTATAAGTTTTTCAAAAGGAAGGGTGAAAGTATGTGAAATTGAATTCTGTGGCATAACAGCATTTTATCATTTAATAGAGTGTACAGTTGAAGGGTATTTTTATCTTCCTGCATTTGACTTCTCCCGGAGATTCCACAGATTGTGAGACTTGCGAGAATGTCGTTGGACTTTTCATCTATATAATTTGCTTCTGATATCTTATCAGGAACTTCGAAAAGGAGTAGAGAAAATCCCATTGATTCCCTGAGAAAATGCATAAGCCCCAAATCTGTTGAGTTGTGGGATGGAAAATGCTTTGGAAGATTTCATCGGAAACTTTTCTGCCAAATAATGGGAAACTGTTCACTTTTTCCACGAATTGTGGAAATGATTTTGGCTCCTTTTCATCCAACAAAGTTGTACAACGCGAAACACTATAGAGCTCTCAACTCACAGAGATTCTCTGTTAAGTGAGATAAATTTTGGAGTTATAAAAATTATTTATCTACAATTGACGAAGGCATGATTTCGGCAACTCTGGAGCGGAGAAAAAAGCTATAATAGCGAAACATTGATGTGGGCAGGTTTTATTAATAAAATATATGTAATGTATGTACATTCGACATATAGTCGAGAATGCTGATGGAAAAAGTTTTGTGAAAATGAAAATTCATTTCCCTGTGCATGTTTTTTCTCTCTCTCTCTTCCCTCAGCCTCCGCTTCTTTGACACCGCGCTCTGTGTTCCAGAGCAGTGTCCCTCGATGTATGATGGAACTTGTCGTGTATGGCGTATTGTATATCACCGTGTGTAGTGAATGATAAATTGCGTAGAGCGTCACAATGAAGCCTCCACCAGCTTCGCTTGCCCACCGAAAACACTCCGCCATGGACTTTGGGCACTTGTGCAGCTCACCTGTCGAGAAAGCTCCATTCACACTGGAGCTTCACGCACAACACAAAATATTGTGATGACGGATTAGATGAAAACATGCAACCAATTAATGTTTTTCACTCCCCCTCCTTGACCACCCACTAAAACAGTACACATTTTAAATGCAACCACAAGATAAACTCGTTTTGCCTTCGCCAGGTGCACATTTAATTTCACTGCACCGTCCACTGATATGAAGGCTTTTGTGTTCTCTAGATTGGATAATCTGCCCCTTACATTGCACCCTCCCCGGCCATTTTTATCCACCCACTCGTGCACTTCATTGTCTCTGCGAAATGAAATCCTCACAAAGTGTATGCTCAACTATTTCTCCTGTTCTGCATGCCCAACCTAATGCAGTGTGCATATCCATAAAGCCCGATTCATTTGTACACAAGGAAAGCTGAAATGACAATTGTTTTTGCAGGAAAAACACGGTAATAGAGGTTTACAAATGATATTCATAATTCAGAGAAGCACAATTAATCTCGGTCTACGCATGCTTACGTAGGAAGAAATCAGTGTAACTAAATGAAGTAGATAAATAAAGTAATTCTCAGTCACACAAGAAATGTTAAAAATGTGTTATATTTGTTGTTATTTGTGTTGTTATTTATACATGTTTTAAACTATTTTGTATCGGTTGAAATACAGATCAATCTGCAAATGTTGCTCTAATTTTCAAGCATAAACATGAATGATATTTACAGTCAAATCTTTTTACCGCGGATTTACTAATTATTTACTTAAAAATTAATATTTTCGGCATGTTTTACCATTTTTCTTCTCATACACATTGTGATGACGCTTAAAACTCTAAAACACAGTTTTAGCGAGAATAGCAAGGGCTATTTTTCTTTATACTGTTTAACATTCCTGTGTTTGACTGGGACTTGATCTAAAAATTTGTAATCTCCCAACGAAACACACAACTGATGAATAGAATTTCGTTCAATAACGACTGGCGACACATTTGGTTAAAAACAGAATTTTTGAAACATGAATATTGTCAGACGTAAACAGTTTCAAAGGGTTTCCAGGAAAAAGAGTTTAATTTGCACGGCAAATTAAAATGTTTCCAGCAAATATCACTTTTCACTGTTTTTAAAAATAGCAAATTTTGCGGAACGTAATTAATATGATATTTTGAAAAACAGGATAAAATGTATTTTATTTGTGAATATAAAATTACTTGAAAACCCACAAATCGTAATAAATATTAATTTTACACCAAGTTTTGCACTCAAATATCATTCTCCGAATGGTGAATCAATCTGCAACTATAGTCTATATCAGATTTCGCAAAAGTTGATGTGCCCTGCAGTGGTAAATGCCACACAGAAAAAGCAACCAAACTCTCTGAAAAGTTCCACATGTCAGTGACAGAGCTCAGTTTTAATTGAATATCGTCAAAATTGGGCGAAATAAATTATTCATTGTGAAATTAGGGAATTCAAACATGGCGTGAAAGTAAAATTAAATTAGCTACAGTGCGGATTTTCTCTATCAAACCCAGTGACTTTTGCAGATTTCCTCAGCTAAGCGCCATCAGATACGGCACATATGCATTGTGTATGTCGACAAACATATATGGTGTGTTTATCAAACATTTCCCCACTTTAATTTCCTCTATCCATTCCACAGCGTGTTCCGTGTGCGAGACAACGTGCCACATTATTTGCATTGATGACGCCAAGAGTCTCATCGCAACCACGGAATACCCATGGCAATTCGTGAGTGATAGGCGGAAGTTTTTGGGTACATGTTAATGGTGTGACATGGAGAGGTATTAAGAGGTGAGAGCGGCACATGTCCCTGCCTCACATCACTGCAGATCGCTGATGGTGCTGTGCAAAAAGTCACTTTAATAAGTTGGACAAAGTTTGTCCGGACGATAGGCGGCAAATTCAGCAGTCAATAGCACATCACACGAATCTTCCCAGATAGCTGAAAACGCTTATGATGTAATTGAATTACTCGAAATAATTGAGTTTCCTGTCACATCCATTAGAGTCCTTTATAGCCACCGCCTCTCGTACGGCCCTCCGCCATCCCTTTCCTCCCTCGCCCCGCTGCGGAATCAGTCACAAAGACAATTTGACTCCGATACCCCATCATGAAACTTCACATCAGAGTGCATCAATACTCATCGGCATCTACCCTCCGCCACTGCTCAGTCTCTCGTTGCGGAGGACTTTTTCCCGCCTAGGCCGTCCGCCTGGCGCATGCCAATAAATTTCCCGGGAAATTGATGATAATGGAGTGGGAATTGGATAGCATTCTCTCTTCTTGCAAATTGCGCATTATTTCCTTCATACTCTCATGCGTATCTTATTCACTATTCAAGGAAAACCCATAGCAGTGAGTCGTGGACGAGTGAGAGCTTTTGCAGGTAGCACGAGAGCTTTCTCGCATATCTTAGATTGTCGCGCAGTGAATGTGTCACTGATAGAAAAGCTCAATGCTTGTGGATAAAAAGGAGCTTTATCCAGACGACGGAGAACATGACAATGTATTGATAATCGTTGTATTCGATTTATTGCGCTCACTTGAGCCACAGCAGAACGAGTGGAACATAGTTTGAAGATTTTTATAAGAATTTTCTTGTTTGTAAGCATTTTATTTAGTACTTGAGTTATTTGAAGGGAAATTATAATAAAAAAATCATTCTTCAAATACAATAAATATTTATTCATTTTACAAAACACAGATTTTCATGTAAAATCTCAGGATAAATCCTTTTTTACAGTCATTTGCACATATTACATATTAATCAGGGAGCTTTCTGGAACCCCTTCAAGGAGAAAGCACTCGAAGTCGCCCAAGCACTCTGGAAGCTTGGCAGAAAGTTTGTGCGCGTGTGTTGTACTATTCTTTTCCCCGCGGGGGAAATGGCACGAGTGTGGTCTGTGAGGGTGAAAATATAACTTCGTACTTTGCCGGAGACGTCAGTTTACACCATCATCAGCGAAGCGATACACTTTGCAGGACGAGCGCACATTTTTGCATGGAAGCTCTGGTGAAGTTCATCTAAGAATGTGACCCAAATAGCATTTTCATCCAGATATTTTCCATCGTGAAACACAACTGGTTTCGCTTGCATTTGTGCCATTAACAGTGTCTTTCCCATCTGCTGAATGTGATTACTTTGGAGGTTTGCAGTGACTCTGTTTGGGGGTGAGAGAAGAAGGGTGTCGTGAAAAATTAACAGTGTCAACATATGCAGGTGTCTTCAGTGCACCACTCATGAATAACTTGAGAATTCCTCTGCGTGAACTTTCGTGAGCGGATGTGCTGATGTGCAGCGCAAATATCACCACCGAAAGTGCTTTAGAGGAGGGCGTTTTGGCTGCATGGGAGCTTCTGCCTCCCACTCGTGATGCAATAATTTTTGGCTGATGCCTCCAGGCTCCTAGATAGCACAGCTATGACGATTTTTCACAGGGCTCTGTGCACATAAAAGGATGCTTGAATGAGCCTGAGACGCAAGAAGCGACGACGAGGAGGAATTTTGCGTTTCATTTCACATCTCCGTTGAGCTCTCAATTGTGTTAAAGTGTTTTCGAGGGGTGAAAATTCCCATTCTGTCACGTAAGATTTTTCACAAAATAAAATAAAGATCGTGCGAAAGCTCACCAGGCGCCCCCATCGAGAGCATATCTTTTGCCGGGTTGGATAATGGCTGGAGTGTGAGAAAATTCGTGCATAAATTACTATATCATCTCCGTGTCACCTCATAAACAATGGGCAAGTGTGAAAAGAGCGTTGAATTATGACCCGCAACAAATGCTGTGTCAATTGCTTCCGACAGAGAATTCTTTAGTATTCCAAAGTGTTTCTGTGCGTGCTTTCGGCAAGCCCACACTATGAAAAGTGTCCGCTGGACATTGAAGCCGTGGCCACTCACCCTGTGCTCACGTCGGACCCTCTTTTGCTCGGCAATTATTGCAATTTATGGCTATTTAGCCGTTTCCCATGTGCCTCCAGTTTTGGCAATAAACGCCACCGCGAGGAAGTCCAGCGACTTGGCAGTGCACTCGAGAACAATGCCAGAAATTGCAGAGACTGCCCCAAATCTCGATGACGATGACGAGTACTTCGAGGACGGCGAAGATGCGGAGATTGAGGCCCTCAAAAGGAACGGATCAGGTAAGTTGCCAAGTGCATTTCACCTACTCTACAACTCCGTGTCGTGTGATTTTGCACCTGCAAACGCATGCGCTGGGACCACACATATATATCTAGGGAATACCCGCATTCGGCCTGCCCGCAAATTGCAAACACGTACCCATAAATAGATGCATTGAAAATGTAAATTGCAACTCTCAGGAGTGAGTGGGAAGATCATTTTTCAACTAATGAGAATATTTAGCAGTGCTACACGTGACACAATTTAAGGGTAGAAAGCATTCAAAGAATATAATACAGTGCTCATTAAAAATACCTTAAAATACCCTTTTGAATTCAGAGTGCTATTGTAGAAGGTTTAAATGGATTTTGGGGTGAAAGTTCTGTGTAAATATAGAAATAAATTCAATTAAAACAAAGCATTAAAACAATATTCTAAAAATAATATTGTCTGCTATATTTGAAGCTTATATAATGTACAGAAAACTGTGCAGGAGAAAGCGATTTTCTATTTTTAATACAGGTCAGGATTCCTCCTGAGCTTTTGTCGAATGGGAATTACTGTAATATAGCAAACATTCATATTGTACTTAATGAAATTTTCACCTGATGGAGAATGAAAGGAAGTTTAATGATCATGACATTTTTTTACGCCTTCCACGCAGTCTGATATTTTGCAAGATAGGAGATTGAAGCATAGCAGATATGCTTAGCAGGGAAGGATGTTCTGCCGAGGCAGCATAACCCAAGAGGGAGTTTGTAGATTTCGCAAATTTTGCTATTAATTAAAAAGAAGCGACCCTGTTGGGATAGACCATTCCTGAAAATTGCTAATTAGCTGTTTTGCACCTCACTGTGGGCATACATTATGTACAGCAATACATAAATATGTATCTGATGGTCTCTGAGCAGGAAAAGGGGGGACGAGGCGCAAATTGCAGGATGGTGTAAACATGAAGCTTTTCCACCCATCTTTTTCGGTTAATGAAAATGCCAGGAAAATAAACTCCCACGTGGAGGTCTTGATGAAAATTTTTAGAGGCGCAATCCCAAGCAAATAATACAAGACACCTGCCTTCGCAGTCTCAACGTTGAATCAATAATTCCTCCCGCGCTGACAATCACTGAAGAAATTTTATGATTCGCCAATTGACGGGTCATGAACTTGAGATCCGCATCCGTGACATTCGTGGGATTTTAATTACATTGTGGGTGTTTTCCAATTACATTTTGCAAAATGAAACCAACACCCTTTTCCGCAAGTTGAAGTTGCGAAAGTTTCTGGCAAAGCTCGGGATTTACAGGTAACATTTTAAGCTCTGTGTATTGCAGAAATTTTGAGTTTCATTCCATCGAACAGTCCTTGAATTGTTCAATGATCCGTTCGTCATTTCGAGTGTTTGATGTGGTATTCAGTAACTTGGTAACTCTCTCTCTCCCTCTAGTTTTCCAATGTTTTCCAACGGACCTGTCATTGAGATCGCAGAACAGAGCGAGAGAGAGAGCACGAAAAGAGCTCTTATTGCATAAAAATCCATACACGAAGGCTTACAATTTCAATTTATTGCCAATTGAAATTGAAATTTTAATTTATTTTTCGTCACCATGAAAGCGTGCTTGCAAGCAAAAATTCAATTTTCTCTCCCTGTTTGTTTTCCACAAATTTATTTCTCTGATTCCCAGAATTATTTGTGCGGAGTGAAATTGTCGGTGGAAATCTCTCTCGCAGACACATTACATCAAGAGGAAATGATGTGAAGATTTTCCAAGCCAAGGGCGCTCGTGAGTGGTGATAGTGTAAGAAAGCACACAATGTCCAAAAGCTTTCTCAACCGGAATTTCATCAGGACAGCGAAACAATTTTAAGCATTTGGCTATCTCTCCCTGTGATCTCAGCGCCTAATTGGTCTTCTCGTTTCGACCATCAAAGCCACTCACCTTTCACAGGGAGTTGAGGATGGAATGGTTGGAAGACATGCGGTATTTTTAGATGGAAAAACATTTCACATTTCACACAAATCGATTCATGTCGAGTGTGATTGAGAAAATTGCAGGAAAGCGCGAGAGCGAGAGACCCAATTCTGCGAGACAGTCACACAATTTCCAATGCAGAGTGGCATAAAAATAATTTGCACAAAAAAAATTATGCCATCGCATCCCAAGAGTAAATTTCAATATATGCAGCTCGAGATTTATGCGCCGTTTCGCGTAATCGCTGCACACTTCTTTTACTATCAAGTGCGCGCCAGGCCTCTAACTCAATTGTCATTCCTCAAATAGCAATCCACTGGCACCAGACTTTCTAGCATCTCTAAATCCCAAAATACACCAATTTGTTGTGCCACTGGCGACTGTCCAAGTCGTCCCGGTGGGATAATCTGAGCGGAGAGACCATTAAATTGATTCCATCTTCTTCCATTTCAACCACTCCGGCCGCCCAGCCAAAGGCATGTACATCGGTGCTGAATGCGAATTCACCTGCAATCCGAGACTGCGTCACGTTTTTTGCGACCCCAGCTCCAATACGTGTGGCTGTGAGAGGAATTATCCCGTGGTTATTGGCAAAACCAAAGGATGTGCCAAACGTAAGTCTCCCGAGGACCGTCTCGCGATGCAATCGCATCTGAATCTGACGTCTTTTTGCCCTTTGCAGCGAAGAAATTAGGTGATCAGTGCTTCTGGCATGAGGCGTGCATGTACAATGATCCCGAATCGCTCTGTGTTCAAGTCAGCCACAATGCAATATGTCAGTGCAAAGATGGCTTCCACTCGGTCAGCTACATAAAGCCAACGAAGAGGGTCTTCTGTACAGAAGGTAAAGTCATCGCATCCCAAACTAAGTGTATAATCTGACTCCTCTTCTTCCCCTTCCAGACATTGCTGCTATCACGTCAGATCTGCCGACTCTCCTGGGCGTCACGACAGGGATTGCAGTTCTGGCTGGCCTCATCTGCATGGTTCTGCATCTATTCTCAAAGACCAAATATCCGCGCCATCGGAACTTCGGTGACGCTAGTCTGCCTCCGCCTATACTCTACTCGAGCGATACAGGTAATCCATAGTTCACTGACTGATTCCTGGTTAAGGCTGTCCTAATCTCTGGCGTTTACAGGAATTCCTCTAACTATCCAATCGGCACGGCCCTCATCGAGATCTAGCATCCGGTCCAGCGGTTCTATTGGCTCCTTCACCACCCGACGTGCCTCGAGCGCCCCCCAGAGCGGCTCCAAGGGTGTCCTGGTATCCACATCGCGGACAGGTGCGGCCAGATCGGCCGCCATATTGCTTATCTCGTGTCACATTTCTGCACTGAAGGCCCAAAGTACTGAGAATGATTGTAATGCGAACATGACCAAGTATTTAGAGAAACAATTGAATCAGCAACGGCAGTTGCTGCACTTGGAATTGCCCGCGACCACCTCAAATAGGCGCATTAAAGCACTGCTGGGATTCCCGGCCGACACCGATGACGCCGAGGAGCACCTCTATAGTTTAGACTATGGGGGATCCCTCGCGGTGGGTGCACTTCCAACGCCAGCCAGTGACACAGCCAAAGTCGCGGTAAAAGTCATGCCACTCATACTTCATTGTCCGCCCTCTCTGACCAATTTGTCTCTTACCAACTGTATACCAATTGGCGCCCATGAGATGCTTCACCAAATCCCTGTCATAACCACTGACTGACTTCTCAGACGGCCATTTGTGCTTTCTGTTCGACCACCAAACTCAACTTTCCGTTCTTCCTTTTGTTTTTCTACTGGATCAGAGTTGGAAAGAGGACGATTTTTCGCAGATACGATGAAGAGTATAGCTTCACAAATTGATAATTGGATAATTGGCAATAATTGAGGATTAAAGTGACAAATCATTTCGGTGTATCAGAAATCTTCATCATATCTCTCTCTATCTCTCTAGTAACTTCAACTCTGCTCGTGATCGATGTTATGTAAAAATTTGATGGAATGTTGTTGACAATTTGTGATAAAATAATTAATTTACGTTTGTGTTGTAGACGTGTGTATATCGATGTTATCAAAGGGTATAGCCATATATCCTACATTCCTCTCAGCTCACAAGTCATTTGCCAATATGAAAATGTGCCAAGGAATGGCCAAAAGAGTGTCAGAGTCGGAAATGTAACACAAAAACGGGCAATATGGCGGTTCATTTCAATTTCAAACACTTAAAAAGCTCAAAGCGAACTTTGTGGTAAATCTCAGTGAAGTTTATCAATTTACTTCTTTTTACCGTCTTTCTCTTATTACGCTTTTAATCAAAATTCACCCCCCCCCCCAAATCCCATTCACGACAGCAGTGCTTTAAATCTCCACCCATGAATCAGTATTAATTCGTATTAATTGAAATTTTCTCGCAATTTGCATAATGTCTTCTCGCAGAAAAGCCTCCGCATACATATTCAAAAATTTTTCTAATGAAGCAATGATGATTCTAGGGATTCACGGGTTGTTTGCATGACTGTCTGGCTTTTAAGACACATTTTTTCACATACACTTACACAAAACACACATAATCGAATTCTTTTCTCTTCAGCGAATATGGTGAGAAACATTCTCAAGCACCGCTTATAGTATATCGTTCTTATCACAAGACAATCTTCGCCAATCAGTGCTAATTTGACATGATAATGCAAATTCTTCTTCACGTGCTTTCTGTTCTGTACTTTCGTGTAACTATGCTATTTTTCTAACCACTCTATATCTCTATTTCTTGGCGGTCTTTGCCCATTTTTGCCACCTTCGCAAATTGCTCAATTTCATTCAAAGTTCACTAACAGATTGTGTATTTCTCTCGTCGGCCAAACATTGATTCCGCCGCAGGTTCTCGACGACCAAGTTTAGCGTCCGTGCACAGCACGAGTTCATCGGTGAGGAGTTACAGCATGATGCGCTTCGAGAAGGAGCTGGAGCAGAAGCAGCTGCGCCAGGAGATGAAGGTGCGCCTGGCGCAGCTTCAGCGGCAGAACATCCTGATCAGCAACCGACCGCACATCACCATTGTGGACACAATGCACATGGCGGGACCGTCGAAGTCCTCCGCCGCGACGCCCAGCCCCATGACGCCCAACTCAACGGATGAACTCCTGCCCATCGTCGACGAGAATCAAGAGGTAAAAGCCTCTCTCTGCGGGCTAAATTTAACAAAATCCCTTTCACCCATCAATCCCACAATGTTTCACGTGGAAATTCAGCACAAAAAGGCCTAACAGAGCCATAACTTATTGATTTCACTCCATCCCCGAAAAACCAGTGAAGACGTTTGCTGACCTTTTTCAACTAAAATAGCACTGTCAATCTTAATATTGATACAATTTCCCAGATAAATTGTTTAAATCAAAAGTTTCCCGCTCTGTATTTATTCTAGGCATATAAAATTCTCTCATGAATGACAAGACAATCTACATTTCCCTCTCGAATTCAAAAGCTCTCTTCCTCCGGAATAGAAAAAAAGGAACACTGGGCAGAACTGATAGTGAACAAATGACTGCTCATTTCCTAAAAGTTTCTCTTTACGATGCAAAAGTGTTATCAGAAAATATGCTAATGTCCTCCCTCAATTCTCTCACTTGCAGTTCACATCACTCTTCACGAGCAGACCATCTGCATCATTCAGCGGAGCTGGAAGCTCCACGGAGGGTCTCCTCTAGATAATATCACAATAGGATAAACGGAAATAGGAAGATAATTTGTATGATGACTTCATTTGATTGCGCGAAAGTCTCCTTTTTCTCCTGGAAGTCCTCATTTTCCCTTACGAATGAGAATGACATGATGCGATGTAGTTTTGTAATATTTCGTAAAACAAAAGAAAAAGAATCAGTATAAAAGGATGGACAAGAACCAAAAATGTACGATAAGTAGATTCTTGTTAAATGTTCAATGTTCTGATTTACCATGAGCTATATCAAGTGAAAGAGGCTCTAAAAGCTACTCTTTATCAATTGAGTTGAAGCATATAAAGCATATCCTGAATGATTTTAAATACTTCCAGAAACAATAATCTTATTGCGAAAGCCTCAAGTTTGGGACTCTTGCCAGCTCTGTTGAAAAGATACATAAATCTTATAGGTGAAAAATTGCACCACTGAATAAACATAGTATGAATTTGAATGAGGCCATATTAGATTTTGCAAATCTACTGCATAAATCAATTTAGTTATAACGGAAAATATTTGTAGATAGATGAAATGAGTGAAGATGGGCAGTTTATTTATTGTGTTGACATTGTTGAATAGCCAAGATACAATAAGAACTTATACACAGGTGAAAAAAATGGTAGAATTTTCATAATCTTAGTGCAAGAGACGTTTTAAAAGTGAAAGGATAAACGCGTGAAGAGAAGCCTAAAAAATAGAGACGCGCCTAGTACTTTTGATTTCTATTTGAAGAATCTCTTTGTCAACTGTTTAACTTAAAATGAAAGATGAAATTTTAACAACGACAATTTTTGCTACACAAACCAATGATAATTTTCTTGATAATTCTTTTTTTCACACCTACAAAAAGACATCGTACATTGGAATAGAGATTCAGGAGAAAGATTATAAAATATTCTCATGTAATTTATGGGTATCTAATGTAAAGTTTATCATCAAAAGTACATAGCTGTGTATTGAAGAACATCCAAGGGAAGATAATAAATCAAATTTCGTGAAATCCTTCTGTCTTAGTCCACCTCTTCTATGGTTGGTCCTGCTCCGGATTGAGGTGGCGGTGGCGGTGGCGCTCCGCCTGGCATGTTAGGTGCCCCACCAGCGCCCTGATAGAGTCTCGTGACGATGGGATTGCAGATCTGCTCCAACTCCTTCTGCTTGTACTCAAATTCATCCTTTTCCGCCGTCTGATTGGAGTCCAGCCAGGAGATGGTTTCATTGCACTTATCCAGGATCGTCTGTCGCTCAGCATCGCTGATTTTGTCCTTGATATTCTGGTCCTCAATGGTACTCTTCATGTGGAAGCAATAAGATTCCAGAGCATTCTTGGCCGTGATCTTGTCCTTCTGCTTCTCATCCTCACTGCGATACTTCTCAGCCTCGTTCACCATCCGATCGATGTCCTCTTTGCTCAATCGCCCCTTATCATTCGTGATCGTGATCTTGTTCTCCTTCCCGGTGGATTTCTCCACCGCGGAAACATGAAGAATGGAGTTTGCATCAATGTCGAAAACCACCTCAATCTGAGGCACTCCTCGAGGCGCCGGTGGAATGCCAGTCAACTCAAATCTTCCCAGCGGATTGTTGTCTTTGGTCATCGCACGTTCACCCTCAAACACCTGCACAAGGACACCAGGCTGATTGTCCGAATAGGTGGTGAAGGTTTGAGTTTGCTTGGTCGGTATTGTGGTGTTGCGCTTGATAAGAACAGTCATAACTCCACCAGCAGTCTCAATTCCCAGAGACAAGGGAGTCACGTCCAGCAGGAGAAGATCTTGCACCTCTTCAGACTTGTCACCATGCAGAATTGCAGCCTGAACAGCAGCTCCGTAGGCAACAGCTTCGTCCGGATTGATGCTCTTGTTCAGGTCCTTGCCATTGAAGAACTCCTGCAGCAGTTTCTGCACCTTCGGAATCCGCGTAGATCCTCCGACCAAGACTATCTCATTGATCTGTCCCTTGTCCATCTTAGCATCCCTGAGAGCTTTGGCTACAGGCTCCATTGTTCCCCTGAACAAATCCGAGTTCAACTCCTCGAAGCGAGCTCGAGTGATGGAAGTGTAGAAATCCGTTCCCTCAAACAGGGAATCAATCTCAATGTTAGCCTGCGAGGAGGCCGAAAGAGTTCTCTTCGCTCTCTCGCAAGCGGTTCTCAGTCGCCGAAGAGCCCTTTTGTTGCTCGTGAGATCCTTCTTGTGCTTCCGCTGGAACTCCTGCACGAAATGATTCACCATGCGATTGTCGAAGTCTTCTCCTCCCAAATGCGTGTCTCCTGCAGTGGACTTGACTTCGAAGATGCCATCCTCAATGGTCAGAATGGACACGTCGAAAGTTCCGCCACCAAGATCGAAGATCAGCACGTTCTTCTCTCCAGAACCCTTCTTATCCAGACCATAAGCGATGGCAGCCGCTGTTGGTTCATTGATGATTCGCAGAACATTCAGACCAGCAATTACTCCTGAATCTTTCGTAGCTTGGCGTTGAGAGTCGTTAAAGTAGGCCGGAACGGTGACAACGGCGTCTGTAACGCTCCGTCCTAAGTAAGCTTCAGCGGTCTCCTTCATTTTCGTGAGAACCATCGAGGAAATTTCTTCGGGAAAGAACGTCTTCATCTCTCCTGAAAGCAACAAATGCAAAACCGGTGAAGATTCGCAGCTTATTTAACGCAGTCATCGAACTTACCCTTGTACTCAACCTTGATTTTAGGCTTTCCACCTTCGCTAACGACCGTGAATGGCCACAATTTCATGTCAGATTGGACAGTTTGATCATCAAAGCGGCGTCCAATAAGGCGCTTAGCATCGAAGATCGTATTGTTGGGATTCATTGCCACTTGATTCTTCGCCGCATCGCCGATGAGACGCTCGCTGTCCGTGAAAGCGACATAGGAAGGCGTCGTGCGGTTTCCCTGGTCATTGGCAATGATATCCACTTTCCCGTGCTGAAAGACACCCACGCAGCTGTAGGTGGTGCCCAAATCAATTCCAATAGCTGGTGCCTTTGCCATGATCCCTGAAATTAATTCAACATCTGCAATCACTGCCAGCCAAAATACATCAGTCATTGTGTTCGGGAAAAGTGTCTCGAAATTTCCACTCGCTTCTAATTATAGCTATTTGCTCAAGAAATTACACTTGTCTCCCGAAATAGACATCCCCGTCCCTTTCCATTTTCTATTCAATTAATAACCACATTCGAATTGTTCACATCCTGGGGGGGAAATTGTATCAATAAATCACACTAATCTTACCTTATAGAGAGAATGAGTCCTTCTTCCACCACAATTTATATGCAAAGTCTCGAGATAATGAGCTAAAGTATCACTTTCTTCAGCGGTTGCGACTGAACTGAAAGTACGACGATTCGGCAAATCTTTAAATACTCTCATCGTGGATTTTCTTGACCACTTCGCGAATTTTGACGTTCAACAAGTGGAAACTTCTAGTGAATGTGAACAGATGTTCTTGAGGCTTTACACATTAGTAGTGAGTTCAAGCACGAGATTTTCTCGTAGGCAATAACTCTTAGCTTTCAAACAGTGTAACATTTCAGTCAATCTCCGGTGATTATATACCACAAATATTGAATTTTAGGTAATAAATTAATTCTTTGGAAAGAAACTACGTGAAATTCTTCCATTCAAACGCGTCACAATTGGGGAAATGCATCAAATGCTTTCTTTTCGCATTCACATCAAGCTCTACTTGACCGTGAAAGCCTGCACCAGACTGATAAAGCCCCTTTAATGCTCTGGCCATCTATTGAGCTTGGCCATTGAGAATTTGCATGAGGTGCACGTTATCTTATCGTAACACTTTTCGCTTTCGATAAGGCGAGACTGCGATAAGTGCCTGTTGAGTGCTAATCTCGCCTCAATTCAGTCCAGCAAGGCACAGTGGAAACGTGCTACACAATTTAGCGAAGCATCTCACAAGACTCTATTGTCGTCCAGCATCAATTGATTGTGCTTCACTGTCAGTTGACGTCCTAATTAATCCTCAAGTGTAAAATTGCCCAGTGAATTGTGCCGATAGGGTGACACCCTGAGCAGAGTGTGTCATTGAGGAATAATTCCGGCTTTATCGCCCAAAAGATAAGAGCTCAGACTGGCTGAATCACCTTGTGAAGAGTGTGTTATTTTTGGAGACTTGGACGGAGAATCATCCGAGAGCTAGTGGTCAGTGTTTGGGGAACTCTCTCAGATTGATGATGTTTTTGTGGAGAACAAAAACACCTACATATTCAATCATTTTTCGACCGGTTTCCTCAGCGTCTTCGTCTCGCGCGCGCGGAAAAATTGGGAGTTTCTGTGAATTGTGCTAAAGTGTGCCTTGCGTCACCTGCAACTAATTAAAATTCCATCAAATTGTAAAGCACTTTGAGGTGTGTGTTTTGACAATTCACGGACAAATTCTTGCCAATTTGTGACCAAATCTGTTCAGCAGATATCATTTGATTCGTGAGCCGATTAGTGTCAAAGTGTGTGATGCAAATTGCCTATGCAATTATGTGATCAATGCGAATTGAGGCGAAAATTCCTTATTGATTGCACAAGAGAGTTTCATGTGAGAATTTATGGCAATGTCATTGTCGTTCAGCAAATTAAAGTCCCTCCTCAATGTGGCCGACAATGGCAAGTCCAATAGGAAAGTGTTCGAGAAGCTGGAACCCGTTGTGGGGTTCAAAATGCAACTCGTGCCCGGGAACAACACAGCGTCGCAGGAAGGCGGGAGTCAGAAGGTGGCATCGAATGTGCCTGAGCTCTGTGTTCATCTCATAGGCGCGCGCCATCTGCCCGTCACGTTCGGCCTGAAGACGGTCGAGGGCTATATGGTGATGGTACGCACTATCTGTGTGCACCGGCTCTCGAGGGGCGGCTAAGTAACGAAGTTTCCTCTCCCAGGTCAAACTCTTCCCCGGATCCGTGCGCTACAACTCGCCCATCGAGACATCGTCCTGGCCCAAGTTCAACGAGATCTTCAAGTTCCCCATGGCGAGCTCCACGAAGAGCTCCATGAAGCGCCCAAAGAACGCCGGCGTGGAGCAAACTCTACCTCAGAAACTCTTCAAGGGACACTTTGTGGTTCTCACCGTGTTTGCCTTGCTCGAACTGCCGCCCAATATGGGCTTCGCAGCCGGCATGAGACAGACCTACCACTCAATCAGGCGCAAAGGCAGTCTCCTGCTGAAGGACATCAACAAGAGCACGGACAAGCCTGACGAGGAAGTGTCCAGCGGGGAGATTCTCAAGCTCACCAAGAGCGAATCGAGGAGGAATGTCGGTTCAGTCACCTGCTTTCTTGATCCCAAACTCTTCACGGAGAACACTAGGACGGGGATTTTCCTGTCGGATGAGTTTTGGTTGCCTATCAAGGATATTACAGTGACACCGACAAACAGCACAATAACGAATTCAGTGAGTATAAAAATCCTACTTTATCTATCCCTTTCAACTTAAGAGAGTCCCTCTAAACTTCTGCAAATTACTCGTGTGATCTTCCTGCAAGACACAAGTCCAGATGAATGCAAGAATTGCGTGTTGAGGAACAATTTGTACCTCAATTTGCAATCCACTTTATTGAGTACGGAGGGAAAAATCAAAGTGAGAGACACAATAAATTCCTCTCAACACTCTTGTGAGATGATTTAAATGGAAATTTAATTTACTATATCGCCAATGCGGTATCTCTGTTTTGCCTTTATTGCAGAATAGGCCAAGATGTTGCGAAGAAATTGCAGTCTTATCGCCTCTCCGGCGAGATACAATAAATTCAGCCAATCGATCTAACATTAAATTGATAGAGCATTTTTCTGGTCCACTTTGTGCGTTATCAATCAGTGCGTCATGTAAACAAGAAAATGTCGACAGAATGCGGAAGATGGATCTTCTCTTGATCTTGAAATTTCCATAGAAACTTCATTTAATTCAAATTAAAAATTAGGCCTTTTGGCGATAAATTTGCCGGAAAAAACCCAAATGAATGTCGAATTGTGGAGAAGCATATTCCAGATGTTGATCCTCAGCCTAAGAAATGTTTCACGTGAAGTGAAATTGAGTGAAAATTGACACTGAAAGTGGGAGGCACGAGAAAAGCCATGAAATTGAGATGAATTGGTAAATTATGGGGCAAAAAAGACCATCTCAAATTGTCAATTAACGTCACACATCTGATGAACCAACACTCTTTCGTGTGTCTTTCCTTGGGCGAGAGGAGAGAAAGGCAAAATTGATGGCTCCTTCCTCCCTCATTGGAGGCGTCCCAGAAAAAGAAATGCATTAACATGCGAAGATGCGTTTTGTATATGCACTCCAACATGACTTTATGATGGATCTGTAAGTGTTTCTCGTATTTTCCACCACAATTGCTATTTCTGGAGTCAACTTTGATGCCACAAAAACCACCAAGATCTTCTGTTTCATATAATTTGATGTTTTTACTGTATTTACTGGATATTCTATCCCCCAAAAATAGCGCCCTTCCACTTCACATGCCAAGTGTATGCAATTCTGTACACAGAAAGAAATCATTCGGTGAAACTTCAGAGCATTCAATTTAAATTTTAGATCAATTTTGTAGTATATTCAATATTACTCTATCACGTTTTCCTGTTAGAATTACTATGAATTTTAAATTACTGGAAATTCTTTTAGAAAAACTTGTCTTTGCACTTCGATTGATCACTTTCTGTGTATCCATTTCCCCCTTCATAGACTGCACAGTTCTGGTGAATTAATTAAAATTGCACATTTCACTCGCAGATCAACTCCAGCACCAAAGGCCAAGTTGAGGTGATTCTAGAGCTGTGCGACCCCATCCAATTGCCGGCGCCCGAGGAAGACACCGTGTCTCAGATCTCAGACAATCGCACAGCTTCCAGACGATGGAGCATCGGCGATGTGAAGCGGAAGATCAAGAGCGTGACGCGCAAGGAGAAAGCCACCCATGGAGGACTCACGCTCAAGATTACAATGGCCAAAATGCGGTGCGCCATTAAGGTGAAGGAGGAGTTCGAGAACGTGGCCGGAACGCTTTACGTGAAGATGTCTGTGTTCGAGAGGGACATCCTGTTCAGCTCGTGGCGCAGTGACCCATTTCTCCCATCGCTCTCCACTCGATGGGACCCAAGTGACTCCACCATTCGCATTCCACTCACAGACGTCTCAGATCTCGATCACATTTCCATTAAGGTCAGTAGTCAATGATCACTCACTGATTGGAGATGAGAGGAAAACTACTCTCAATCTACTTGAGGAGTAATTTTTCACGGGAAAAAATGCTGAAATTTTCACAATATACGATTGAAAACCTTGAAAAGCAACAGTTTTCAGTGCTAAATGCAGAAGAACGGGAAAAATCTCTCTTTCAACTTGCTTAGCTTGAAAATTTCACTACATTTCCCAGAAACCCTCTGATATCTCAAGAGATGAAAGCCTATTTATCTAAGCCTCTTCTGTCAATTTCCCTTCCTCAGTTCTCCGTGGCCACCAGAAGCAAGATGGGCAAGAAGATCGTTCTCGGGACACTCATGATGGGCGCTCCGGCGAGCTGTGCGAAATTGGAGCACTGGGAGTCGATGATTGAGTCTCGTGGATCACCAGTAGCCATGTGGCACAGCTTCGAATGATAGTGACTCCAGCATAGCCTAAAATAAATCTTTGACCACGTGAATTGGGGCATTTTTCGCGGGAAGAGTCCATCGGCCGCGAATTTTCATGAGCGCGGCTCGCAGTGACGCCGTGGTGGGATTCCTAAGAAGGCACACATCGCAGAGTTTCACTGAACGAGAGATTTCAGTGCTGAGACAATCGCGCTGCGAGGCACACGAAGTCTTTCAGCTCAAGACGCGCGCCTCAGAATCACTCTGTCACTCGTCGTGTTCAGTTAATCTGTGTCGCTCTGGCAGGAAAAGTGCCCAATTTCCACCAACACTCGACCGATTAATGGAGAAGTGGTGATAAGGGGAGAGAGAGAAGGTCTCTCAGATCTTGCAATCAGGTAATTTTGTGTGAAACCTCGCACAATTCCATCATCTCTAAAGTGTGTATTCTAAGTGATCACTTGAGCAAAAGTGCAGAGTGACTAAAAATAATATTTATCATCATTTTTCTTCTCTTATTGTACAACTTCCTCGTGTGGACACAATGCCGCTCGTCTGGCTAAATTTACTGAAAATCGCCATTTTCCCCCTGAGAAAAGAACCACTTTCTCAGCTCCTCGCATCGAGTGCGTGAATGGCACTTAATTGAAAGTAATCGGAGAATTTCAATTTGCCGCATCAGTGTTGATGAAAAGGCGGAATTTCTCGCGACAGAGTGTCAATAGAGGAGTGCTGATAAGGCCACAACAGTGTTGCAAAAATCCCATGTATTCAACTTATCAATAAGCTGTCTTGCAAAAAATTCGGCTTGGCTTTTTTTCTCAGTAGCGCAGCACAATTTATACGCTTATTGTGCGTCTGCTTGTCCTTTTCGCAGCACTCGGCAAAGTCTCTTGTGCGATACTTCGCTGGGTGAGATAATAAATTGCGAGAGACGCCACGAAAGGAATGTGTAGTCTTGTAAATTACGCAAGAAAGTGATTAACAGAATTTTGGCAAATATTTTATATTCACATTCCTCCAGTGACGAAAAGATCCCGCGCATGACATGAGAATATTTTTTTTCTTCCTCGAGGGTATTTGCACAAAATTTCGCAAAATTACAATTCTCCTTATCAATCACCAGAAACTGAACACACGCGTGTCCTCGAGAATTCTCACCGCAGACCAAAGATGGTCATTTGATGTGGCCTCGCGACGGTGAATTTCTTATTCTCGCCACACAATCATTACATGTTCTCCATACTGAGCCTCTCAAGCTCTCTATCTCGCGAGATAATCTCGAGCGCACTGTGAAGTTTTGTGTCGTGGATATTTAGATGGGAGACAGCTGAGGGAAAACGTCACTTTATCATTTGGCGAATGGCAGAAAAATTCCTCCTTCTTGTAAACACTTTCCTGTGGCAATTTCATTCATAAAATGACTCAATAAATACCTCCGGTTGCTGTAAATTACGCGAGAGCGTAAAATTGTTGAGACAAAAATGCTAATTGCGCCTGTGGGTTTTGCAAACACCGCGAGCACGCCTCCGTTGGGAGGTTGGAGGGCAGATTTTATGCCATCACACACCACCTCTGGGATGACCCCGAAGCGGCAGACTTTCGCGACTGTCTTTATTCCTTTTTTGGCGGGAAAAGACAGTGAATTCAGGCCGTAAAATTACCCACTGAAAATCAACTCTCTTGCGGCTTTGCCATGCGTTCTGCCGAGGGGTGAATGACTCTGTAGTAAATCGAGAAATCTCTCTCCTGGGTGTGATTTACATTCAGCATTGATCTCCACTTATTCTGGGTGAAATCTAACAAAGAAAACTTTTGTCTTCCCTATCTCTTATCTGCAACTGGAAGGTTGAATAGCAAACAAGCCTAAATTAGAGCAAGAGTTCACAACCACTCTTTAACAAATTACTGTCTCGCTTATTCTCTTTGGAGTTTCTTCTCCTAATTAGTAAACATAAAACTACAGACTTCTCAAAGGGAGTGGGAGATTTCACTCTCTAAACACACACCTTGCAAATTTTCCCACGACGAACTTCACGCAAAGAAAAAAGAGGTGAAAATCTGGACAGAAAGTATGCCAAAAGTGCATATGAGGCAGCATAATTGCGTTTATTGTGCCTGCCACGAAATATTTTACACCTTTGAACGGTGTAAGTGCGATTCTCGTGATAATAAAGACTATCGCAAGAGCATAAACTTTGATAATATGCCGTGTTGAGTATGTACACATGCTCTCCAACATTATGTAATCGTCACAAGACGGCAATTTTGTGGATCATTTGACTGGGATTTGGAGGGTGATGTCGTTTAGAGGGTGATTTACCTTCCCGATCAAGAGCTTTCATGTGCTGTAAATTTTCAGATGTCGGACTGCGTGCGATTGTGTGTGGCGCCAATTGAGCATTCCTCCCACATCGTAAATTGTACTCTGCGGCCCGACTCGCGAGAGAGACATTAGAGAGCCATCGAGTGATCATTTGGCATGAGACAGAGGCTGAAAGAGTGTCCAAATTGCCCTCACGAGCCGCCCAGGAAATTCCACTGCCAGGAGCGATTTGTGGCCTAATGTGTGAATTATCGCCAATATTTTCCGATAAAAGGCGCGAAGGAGTCGAAAAAGTGCATCACTCAAGTGCGAAGAGCCCACAGTTTTTGCCTTAACTGAAGACTTGGCCATATAGTAAGAGCTGTGCTTGGATGGAGGTTGGACCGCTGTGCGATGTGCAACATTAATTTGCAATTGTGCGGCGCTCAATTTACGCCCACGGACGTGATTCAGCCACGCGCTGTAATATGTTAATTTCGTGGTGGATTTGAGTGATAAGGTGACAAGCGTGACCAACAATCAACACGAAAAGCACAATGGACAGGATTATCTGCAGCATATTTCTATTAATTTTCCTCCTCCGCATTGCAGCAGCCGCCAAGGGAAATCAGGTATGAAGAATGTTCCTCGAGAAAACCCTTAACAACGTCCATGATCACGCGATGGGAAGTGCAATCCGGGGGACAATCGCATCATAAACTATCTAGAAAGTATAGTTAACTATAGAATGTGATCGAGGGAAATACTTGTTTGTTAAGGCAACGACGGCAACAACACAGATTCTTTTCGTAAATCAAATGATTTCTCTCGATCGTGTAAATTTTAATTGAGTCATTATGTTGAGATTCGCCTGATAAGCCTAAAGCCACCGATCGCGATCGCAATATTTCACGGTTTATATATTAATTTCCCTCAATCAGGTAAACATGCTTGGCAATAGCCGAGAAATCTGCTCGATCGATCTCGCGAGTCAGTTAATCACCCCTCGACAGCAAACGAGTCGCGCGTTGGAAAATCACCTCTTAATAAATGTTCAATTGGCCAAGAGTGCATAGAGAGAATTGGATTAATTAAAAAGCCATTTAATTCCTCCTCAATTCACATCTCAATTAGTCATTCGCGGCAAGATCTTCATTTTCCACATGTCCAATGGATGTACTTAATTCAATGCACGTTAATCACCCGTGGCAGTTTCTCGCCTCACCAGAGAATCCAATTAGCCACCTAATGATGTATGAGACAATCCAGGAAGAGGACCCACCCACCCAGGAGTTTTATCGCCAAAGAAAGTTATGCCATTATTTCCATACCAACACCGTCACGTCTCTTTGGGGCGCAAGAGAGACTCGGCGGCACCGCGATCGCGTGCTTTGCCACGAGAGCCCATGTAATATTGAAAAGTGGACTTTTACAAATCACGTTCTGCACTTTTTGTTCACTTCCGCCCACTCACGCTTTAGCCATTTGATCTCGAGTGGCGTGGAATCAGGAATTGCAGTGGCCAGAGACTGATCTCATTGATCTCACCACGGACCACTTGGACTGCACTTTAATTGATTCCTGACGAGATCACCTCCATCTGCAGTTGGCAAATGGACTGCCAGTCGCTCCGAAAGAACTCCGCATAGCCAAGTGGTGAAATAGCCCGAGAAATTACAATTCACTATCTTAATGATTATCACTCCTTTGCGTTCTATATGCCTTCCATTTGCAACATTTTCTCCAATCTCACTCCAAAAGCCACTCAAGTTGCGGTGCGGAAACACTTGGGACACATTAGATGGCGCATTAAAAATAGACTTTATCGGGGGGGTTTTCAATCCCCCCGCAATCCCTTATAGATCCAGTCATTCTGACTATAGTAGATCAAACAAAAATTCACCAAATGTGATCAAGATGAATGTTTATCCACTCAACATTCGGAGAATGAGGCATTTTCTCGATGAAAACTATAAATCATGAACCTGAATTTCTCTTCTCCATCTGCCATCGGAGCCATTTTCGACAACTTATGCCGATTCACGAGCATTCCTGCGGTAACTTTTTCTCACATCTAGCGATATAAATTAATGACTTACTATCAATTAAGTGCATCACATCTTCAGGCAATCAGAAGATGATGCATGGGCGACAAGATCAATAAATTTCATCAATGCGACCTCATAAATATGCCCATCTTCCACGGCAACAGCGGAGATGAAGAGCGAAAAAAACAGAGATTTTCCATCCACTAAATCACAAGGCGGACGCGTAATTTGATGTAATTTGTCCATCTTGGGGAATCTCCACACATCAGCTGCCAATCCATCCCTTTTTCTCCCCATCGGGAATTGTAGTGCTTCTCTTCCAGTTGGAATTAATCGAACCCTGACCCAATTAATTTTCATTCGAAAATGAGTTTGAAAGCGATCTCGGGACAGAGTCAATCATCGAGTGCTAATTTTATTGCTCTGCGCCGTCCTATTAATTCACTTACGCGCATTGAACTCGTTTCTTATTCACTTCCCTCCAATTTTCATCAATTGACTCAGATTGAGTGGTTTATTTAGTGAAAAAGAGCCGCAATGATTTGATAAATTGTTGGATATTGTCTTCCTTTGATTTTTTGTCAAATTCAGGGGGTGAATAGCGTCTTGATGGGTAGATTTTGGCTGTTATTTGCGCGCAAATGTGTTGAGTAGAAATTAATCCACCAATATTTGTCTAAGATCTTCATTTCTCTACATTTTTCCCATATTTTGGTTGCGATACTCTCTTGTCGATACAGTACTCTCGACATGTTAAATATTTGCCTCCTCATCCCGCAGACTATTAGTGTGAATTTCATCTGAAGAGTGTGAAAGAACTGAAACACGAAAAAGTCACGTAAAACAAACTTTCGGGCTAAGAGCCAAGCAAAAGGTGAGACATGATAAAAGTAGTGAAATTCTTGCCAATTTCACTCTGTGGAGGAGTAAAGAGGGAGATTACAAAGTAATTTTCATTCATGGGTTGGGACAGGATGAAAAAATGGCGTGTCTGGAGACAGTAAATGGAAATAAATTGCACTTTTACCCGCGAGTGTATCTCTGTCTGTCAGGCAAATAAGAGAAGAAATATTTAACAATTTATTGTATGTACTTTATTGCACTATTATTCTCCCTCACATGATCTGCAATCTTGCCAGTGTTCGCACAAAAGCTGTGGGCAATTTGGAGGCGACTCTTTTTCCTTATAGTATAAATATGATTTAAATTCAGTGGTAGAATTTATCGATCTCTCCGCTCTGCACACATAGAATCCCATAACTCATCTTGTGAATGATGACAAAAGCCATAAATGTGTGACATCTTCGAGGCATGAAGACGGAAAAAAAGCAAGCTAATCCCAATGCTTGTTGATCGCTGCTGACAGGCTGTATTAAATGGAACCGGTTGAAAATTACACATGAGCACAGCATCTAAATTGAAATTAATTGAGGTGTCACTTTTTGAGGTGGTCTCTCGATCAATTAATAAATTTTCTGTATTTCCCCGCCGAACAGCCAATCCGTTATATCAACGGGCACGTGGTGGGGATAAAGAAGAGACATCCTATTAAATGAAAGTTTCCCACATGAGAGATCATCGCATTACAGTCAATATTTGATGTATAGACACCGAATTCCTCGTGTTCCCTGTCTCACGATGAATCGCCATTCATTCATCTGCATATCACCTCGACTCGATCATCCCAGCATTTTGTCCAACAAGCCGGCGAAGAATTCTCCAGTGTAGGCGAAAATTGAGACTTTTCTGCCATTCACCACGAATGATATCAGATTTTTGTGGGACTCTGAGAATTTTCTGAAATTTACACTCACTCAGCGAATTGATTAAACCCACAGTAGACTTATTGACACAAGTGAGGAAGTGGTAAACAGTCCAAATCGCCCGCTAAATCAATTTACATTGTCATTTATCAGTCAAATATTAATTATCCCAAGGGGGAGATAATACAGCTAAACAGTGTACGCCACTTCCTCAAGAGAATCATAGACATTTGCAGAACTTTGACAGTGCTTAAAACATACATTTTTCCTGTTTTCTCCTCCTTTTTCTGAACTTTATCGATTTTTCCAACCACCTAAAGTATCATAACCTCAAATTCAGATATATTTGACTTAAAATTACGCCATTCTTACTTTGAAAACTTACGAAGAAACACTGATTAAAAAATATTCAAAGTTTATAGTGGATATTTGCTACAATGTCCAAAAATTTTGATAAAATGCTTCAACTGAGTTGTACACCACTTCTGATCATAATATCTTCCCCTTGAATAAGCCTAGAATTATCTGAGACAAATGTTACTTTATGCTACACATGAGGCACTTTTCTCTACCCTTAAATAAATTTCCCAGTAAATCTTTACATACCAAATTCCAGGAAACACTCGCGATGTAGTGAATTGCAAATTTGGCAGCACAATGAGAAGATTCTCACTGGCGCACTCTGACCTTTGTCTTAATGAGAATTTATTCCTTCTTCCTTTTATCTCACTCGAGGCCAATGCCACGAGGTGAATCAACAAATTGTACAGCCGCCACGGTTTGTATTCACGCGGTACACAAGCAAGAGTTAATTAAGAGATGAAATTAATGGATATGCCTGTTTACATAATTTTGCGTATACAAAACACGAGGAACTTTGTCGCTTAATCATCGAATCTGGAAAGCGCGGGAAAAATGTGCAGCGAATGTCTTGAGAATTATACCTTAAAAACATCTTGGTGCGATCGTATCTGTATTTGGCGGGAGAAGAAATGCCACAAGAACTCGAAATGCGAGAGAATGAATTATCACGAATGGTTTATCGACTTGGACGAGGTGCAAAATGTGTGTCACAGCGCCGTTTAACATCAACAGGTAGCAAAGTTGCTGAATATATTTAATTACTCACCCGATGGATTTCCCACGTCACGCAATCGCGCGCGTCTTCGCATATTTTCAGCATTTTCATGATGACATTTCGGGTGGAACTCCGCTGGCAAAAAGGGGCTTAGAGAGGCATTTTTGCACTGGAATGCGCCTCAAGAGTGCCAGCCTGTGCTGGAGGTGCAAAAGTGGGCGATCGAGAGTGATCTCGTGTGATCGTATAGGAGCGTATGATCATGTGAAGTGATTGAAAGAGAAAATTGTACGTCTCGTGTGCGTTGGTGGGTGTCCCAAAGCGATCAACATCTTGGAGGAATGTAAGTGCCAGGGGATTTATTTATACACCAAAGTGCAGAGACACGACAAATTCTAATGATCATTTGACATATTATCTGATCCTCTGACGGAGTACAGCATTTGAGCTCTCGAAGAGCTGAAAACTTCCGCACGTTGTAGTGTTCAGCATCTCTGGCTTTTTTGTAACATCTTATAATTCATATATTATTAATACCAACACACGCGAGATCATCGCCCACGCGATCATTGCGGAGCAGATGAGGAGCGCGGAGTAGAAAAAAAGCTGTTCATTCACCAGAAGGCAGCACAGCAATTCCATTCATTCCATTCATGCGGTAAAACAATCAACCAGGCAATCTCCACTGATCTTGAAGACTTGTTTCATCGACCAATATTAATCGGAAGCATCGTAAAATAGCTCAAGATGATCATTTCCATGTACGAACGCCGAAATTTTTGGCTCTCACTCGAACGCCTATCGTCGCCCAAGTCATCGCCCATTAGTGCTGATGGAAACACATGGCAAACATAATCGAACATGATTTGTTTATAAGCAAAATGACAAAAAATACACGACACTTGCATATTTCGTATACATTAACCTACTGGTTTCTCAATTAAAACCAATTGCAAACGATTGCCTTTCGAGACTCAACAAGAGGTTTGTGTGCTTTTCTGGTAGGCGAAACAATGGGCGCCTAAAAGACTATGAAAAATCAAGACTGCAAACTATAGCGCAACGCACACTTTAGTGACATCTATTTGAAGAGAAGCATTCACTCACTCAAATACAAGGGGGAGATAATATGGTCAGAAGTAGTGTACAAATATTCCTTTCCTGAGTGCTTCTTTGGCTGCCAAATTAGCCTGATTCTTTGGATTTCTTATGATTTTTGCGTTTAAATTATCACAAGAATCGTTTGGAAATAGACTACAAATATCAAGTTCAATTTGAAAATGTTCGAAAGTGGTGTACAGATTTAAGACACATTATCTCCCTCCTTGGTTAAATATACAAGAAACAAAATTGAACATCATTTTCTTCGAAGATATTCGCCCAGAAAAACCCGATCAGAAGTGGAAAAATGCTGCTAATGGCGAAAAGCCATTGGTCGCTGCTAATTTGGCAATTTCTATTCTATATTGTGATTTAATTTGCCACCATCAATTGAGTAGGCACTCTGGACGTGTGATAAGTTTTTTTTTATGATAAAATTGGCGCCGAATATAATGGACAAATTCCACACACGCCCTTTTCCGCCTTCCCCCCCGGAAAAAGACACTCCATCTGGGCGCGATCGACATCGCAGCATGATCCCCAATTAATTAATATCCCCCATTAATCTCCTAGGATTGTGAAACACTTTAAATGTCTCGCGATACACTGGGGAAATTATGTGAATCGTTAAGTAGAACATGACGATACTTGACGTTTGGTTATTGTTGTTCTATGCAAATTTCACTTATTTTTCATCCGCACTCTCAAAATAGATATAGATTGACCTCCTCCCAAAAAACCACACCACAGAGCGCCCAAATTGATTTCCTCCATCAGTCGTAAAAATGAGATACACTCTCTTTCAATATCATGTTTATATTATGCTCGAATCACGCCTTAACGAATTATGAAGGAAAAAGATCATGATCTATTTTTTTCGTCTCACGCTGAAACATTATTTTTTTTCGCAAATTTCCATATGGGCGCCTCCATTGGAATTTTATGGGATTTTATTCTCTCAATATCAGGGACATTTTACGATCGTGGGTCTTAACCCTGTTTATTGTGGTGATTTATGTGACTCTGTGCGGAAAATGCTTTTTGGCCGAGTGATCCTCAGCATGATGAGCCACAGAAAATTGAAGAAATCAAATTGTGGGATGATAGTAAAAAAAAATCACTGTTTTATGTTAGAAAAACACTAACAAATTTCAGCTTGACAAAGTCTAATAATAAAATAATTTGTCTTTTTTTTCGTCTTTTCCTGGCTAAAATCATGCCTTTCGCAATTTCCCCGCATGCGAACCACTGAAGCAATAACCAATAGATTATTGCAAAATGTGATCAGTGAAAATATTTATGGATAAATGTTCCTTATGGCCGAAACATCAATTTTATAGGCTATTTCTGTGGCCATTCCCATCCTTGTTCCACTGCGCACACTCCCCGATCCGAAATGCATTCAAATGCTGCGATGCGTGCACTCAATGGGCAAGCTCTAGGCCACACAATCTATACCTCAAAGAATTCATTAACTTCACGTGCATAACTCGCGGTGGTTAATTGTTTATGGGCGTCTTTATGGGGATACTTAAGAGACAGAGTTTCAGTCACGCATGATCGTAAGTTTGCCATTCGCACGAATTTCAATATCGAGAGCCCCATTCATGGCACTTCCTTTGCCCCGTTGCGCCCATTGTGGCGGCAGAAAATTCATTAAGAGATTTCACCCCCATTTCCCCCTCACTCCCCGCGCAGACATCACACGTCCAGCCGGCCCGATCACGGCTCCGCGATGCCATCACTCATGATGCAGACCGACCGCATCACCTGGCCAACGATCTCAGCAGTGTCCGACATGATCTTCGTGATCGCCATCGAGCAGGTAATGATTTCTCACCCGCAACTCGAGAGGCTGGGAATTAATTCTCGCGCTGTGTTAAGGTGTGAGGCTGTCTGGACGGTCACGACGCTGGAGCCACAGAAGACGACTGGGCGGCGCGGATTTCTCACCGTGGTCCACATGGTCGCACTGTGATATTCACTGCCGACAGAAGCGCGAGCGTTTCTGCACCGTGCGCAGGAAATGCCGGGACACAAGACACTTCGAGGAGCGTCGATGTCGTCGGTGAGTTGCCCTGAATCCCTGTGTGTAACATCTTCACACCTGCTTTTCATAGTATCATTTAGCTTTTCATCACTCTTCCTCGCTGCAATTTCAATAATAATAATAATAACATTCCGACCTAATCTGTTCTTTGAGGAAAAGAGCCCGCTGAAAGCGAGCGTGATATCATTTGAAGTGACTAAACCTCGGAGATCCCATCAAATCTCCACTTCTGGCGTCTCTGGCTCGGCGCCAAACACGCTGAAGCGAGAATTCCGCCAATAATCCTCCAGCGGCAATTTATTTAGAGATGCGGAAAAGGCCGTCTCTCACAAATGTGAGTAATGTGTTTCTAATCGGCCACACTCTCTGCTCAATTGCATCCAGATGTGCTCCGCGGAGTGGTCAGCAATCCATCAGCCACGACGACAGCGACTACTTCGCCATTGACGGGGCGCATCAGAAGAATCTGCTGGTGAAGATCGTGAAGAAGAAGAGTCCGCGCGCGAATGCCACGACTTGGGACCTCAAGTCCGGGGACATTCATGGACAGGGCCTCATGCGGCGCCTGGGGGACATCGTGGACGACGAGGAGGACGAGGTGTTCGAGGATGAGGCGCCGAATGTGGCGACGCGGGGTCGCGAGAAAGCTGTGATCAACATGCCGACGACGGGCAGATACCGTCGCGTGTACTCCAAGTGGAGCAAGTGGAGCAAGTGCACGGCCAAGTGCACCACGAGGCGCTTCAAGCGCTGCCGCATGCCCGAGGTTTGCGGCCACGAGGTGCTGCGGGAAGTGGCCTACTGCTACACCGAGGGCAGCTTCTGCCAGGAGTGGATTTCCGCCCAGCTGCACACGCCCTCGCGGCCGCCCGCGCGCTCAGCCGCCTTCGCCATGGATCCGTTCTTCTCCTCCCGCCGCGATCTCAATGCCATCGCCACCCACCCAACGCAGCCGCCCGAGGATCACCCGGAATTCAAGCCGCAGGCGCTCAAGTGCGGCATTCCCGCGATTCGGCCGCGCCGCGACTACTGGCGCATGCTGAAGATCATCGGCGGACGCACGTCCAGGCGGGGCCAGTGGCCTTGGCAAGTAGCCATCTTCAACAGGTTCAAGGAGGCCTTCTGCGGCGGCACACTCATCTCTCCGCACTGGATCATCACGGCCGCGCACTGCGTCCGGAAGCGGCTGTACGTGCGCCTCGGGGAGCACAATCTGGAGGTGAAGGACGGCACGGAGGTGGAGTACCGCGTGGAGTACGCCATCAAGCATCCCAAGTACGACAAGAAGACCGTGGACAACGACGTGGCCATGCTGAAACTCCCGCGAGAGATGATCCCGTCGGCTTTCATAGGCTTCGCCTGTCTTCCAGACAAGCATCAATCCCTTCCCGTTGGTGCTCAATGCACCATCATCGGATGGGGAAAACGCAGGGATCAAGATGACGCAGGAACGAATGTCCTGCATGAGGCAGAAGTGAGTATTCAGACAGATCAATGCGCGAATTTAATTGCTGATCTTCACGCATTCCTCCTCAGGTGCCCATCATTACGAATGAGGAGTGCAAGGCTGTCTACTACGATTACACCATCACGAAGAACATGTTCTGTGCAGGACACAAGAAAGGACGAATTGATTCCTGCTCAGGCGACAGCGGAGGTCCAATTCTATGCCGGTGATCATTTCCCCGCACAAATCCTCCATTCTTCCTCAAATAATCCATAATTTCTCGCCCGTTTCAGAGACTACACGAAAGCCAGCAATCCCTGGACAATCTACGGCATCACCAGCTTCGGAGATGGGTGTGGAAAGAGAAACAAATTTGGGATCTACACGAAAATTCTCAATTACGTGGATTGGATCTGGTCCGTTGTGAATTGTAACGGCGTCTGCAAGCACCACAATGCTGCCGAGACGAGATTCTAGGCAACTCTAATCCAAGCACTCCCAATGCATTTAGCGAGTCACTATTTGTTTGTTGACGTATCATTCTTGTACATATTTCATCAATTTTGTGTAGAAAAAAGCCGATAATAAACTTGTGGTAACTTAGTGGCAGTTGCTGATATGATTATTTGGATCATTTGAAGAGCAGAGAGTGTTGGTGAGCAGATGGCGCTAGACGCTGTCGCTGAGTTTTCGGCATGTCGCTCAGTGTGCTGGATAACCTCACTTCAGTTGCATTTTCACCGTGTCTTGTAGTTGCGCAAATATATCTGGCATTTTCTGTGAAACAAACAGCTTTTACTGATTGACAGAAGCCAAGGAAGGACACAGGTATGTGAGAAAGAAGCTGAGATCTTATAATACTAAGTAGCTTTGCGAGAGATTGCAAGAGAACTCATATTTCATGTTCAAACTTTCTTTGTTCGCCAATAGAAGGATGGCTTCCTTATTGGAGTCAACGAAGACGATAGTGAAGTCCCTGCTGGTGTCCGTGGGCGGAACAACAACGGTGGAGTTGTTGGAAAAGGACTATATGAATATGGAAGAGGAGAGACTTCCCTACGGCATGCTGGGCTTCTCAACCGCTGAGGCTTTTGTCAGAAGCCTGAATGATCTCGTGCGCGTTAACGGACATGGACGATCGGCTGTTGTGGAGCTTCTCGTGACGAAGAACTCCAAGTCACTTCATATACAGCAAATGGTGAAAGCACAGAAAAAGGACAAGAAGTTCAATGAGAAATTCCAGCGAAGCGCTCGACAGCACAATAGTGGGAATTGGCAGCGCAGCCGCTACAGCACGAATCAGAGGAATCAGACGCAAACGACTTATCCTCCAGCGCCTCTCTTTAATCAGTATACAGCAGTACAATATCAGTACCCGATCCCGTTAAGTATGATACCGCTTCAGGCCTTGCAAAGTGTTCTAACAAGGAATGTATTTAGGGATAATTTTCCGGAATACTCACCAACATTTCCATGCAACGCTTCTCATCCCTTGTTCAGCAATGCTCCACAGCCAACACAGCATCCGCCGCAGTATTCCCAGAGGCTGATTGAGACGAGCATTCGTCGTGAGCCTGAGAGAACAAAGACTCCGTCACCGATCAGAACGCCTCCAAGGACTCCATCGCCGATCGAAAGGCCTCAGACTCCGCCAAAGACAGTGCCTCAGCTGGCGTCGCCCGCACAAGAGAGTCCAGAGCCTGTAGAGTTTGAGGATGAATGGGAAATCCCTGATGTGACGAGCATTCGTCCTCCGCCAGGATACACAGAGTCGTGTTTTGGCTCAAAGTCCAGCATCGGCAGCACAGAAGACTTCTTTTCCAAAGTCACGGACAACATTGCTAAGCTGGAGAGATTGAGTATCACTGAGGATTCGGTGCACACGCATCTGGACTCCATCTCGCTGGAGAGCTTGACTCTGGAGGCTTCCGGGAACATTGCGGATCCCGCACTGCCGGACTGGGTGTACGAGACCATGGAAATCGTCCCGGACGGCATGGCGAGCTACAAGGATGAGCTGAAGATCAATGAGCGCACTGACATCCTGACCATTGGGAAGTGGTCGGAAATCTACGTGACGGAAGTTCACAATCCGCACAAGTTCTTCTTCCAGACTGAAAAGGAGCAGGCGGAACTCAACGCTGTCATGGATGATCTCAAGTGCGTTAGAGTGATTATCTTATCTTCTGTCTCTCATTCTAATCCCGCTGTTTCTCCCACCAACACAGGTCCTTCTACTCGAGGTCATCCAATGACTCGCTGGAGCCGAAATTCCACGAATTGCGTCCAAAATTGCCGGTGGCTGGACTGTTTGAGAATGTCTGGCATCGTGGTGTCACACTTTCTGAGCCATTTCAGCTGCAGAAGCAGAATATGTGCAAGATTTACTACGTGGATTACGGCACGGTGGACAATGTGCCGCTGGCGGGGATTCGCTTCCTGCACAAGCGCTTCCTGGATCAGCCACAACTGTGCCATCGGGCCTCGATGAGTGGCATTCTGCCCTTGGGCGAGTCGTGGGACGTCAAAGTGACGCGATTTCTGCTGGCGCACGTGATTGGACGCAAGCTGTACGCCATCGCGAATAGCTTCTACGCCCCTGATCGCTCGTGGCACGTTGAGCTGGTGAATCCTGCCACAACGCCCAGCCTCAACATCAACATTGCCATGATTGAGGAGGAACAGGCGAGATATTACGACAGACCGGTGAGTTTGCCTCTGGGATGATTTGATTTATGGACGCTGAATTTCATGTGTTTTTCTCTTCTCTTCTTCACACCAGGATCTGGAGGACTACATGGATTATTACAAGAAACATCCTCCGACGTAGGTTTGATAGTCAAATTCTATCCTCATAATTAAGTAACTTAAACTAACCCCTTAAGTTGTGCTTAGCAATATTTCGGGCTCCTCGCAATATTATAATCGCCTCTCACTTCTACAGCTTCGATGAACTGATCTGTGGGCAATATCCGACGTATTCCGAGCTCCTGGAATACAACCGGCTGGGAATTGAGTATCAGATTGAGTTGCGCAAAGAGTCGCGTGCCACTGAGGAAAATGCGGAAAATGTGTTGTATCTCAGTGAAACGAATCCCTTCATTGAGATGTTGCGGGAGAAAAATTTCCGCGTCATTCCGATTCAGCGAAATTGCTCTTCCACTCAGAATTGTCTGGATAGTTATGAGAAGAAGGCAATTCCACTGGACAATTTGAACATTCCAATTGACAAGGCGCACATCAGCACAAATCCTTTTATGAATTACGACTAACACATGAAATCTCATCCCAAAAATATCGTGCTTTTTTTCCGTACCTGTCTTGTTCTTCATTATATCCTTCATCGCTTTATTGACGCGAAAGAGAGATTGAACTGAAATTCGTTACATTTTTGTTAATTATAGAAGAATTTATTAATCAATTAAAAGATTGAGGACAAAAACGATACTTCATGTTGAAAAACACGCCCAAGTGTGTGTGTGTTTGTTTTTGATTCCATTACAAAAAAAGAATAAGAAGTTGTTGCTTCCGGAAACGAAAGAAAATACCCTTACAACTAATCCTGGAGCGCCGACAGTCATCTCATCTCGGGGGAAGATTGTGGGTATGGAAACACGAAGAGAGATTGACGGGAATATCTAATTGCAGATAAGCATTGATGCTCAATTAGTCCTTGGCTGGCACCTCAATCACCCTCGGCTTGTCGATAATCCTGGCCGTCCTGTTGCCCTTCTCCACAATCCCGATGATCCAGGCCTGGTAGCCCTCCTGCTTCTCGATGTCCTTGCAGTACGCGGCCGCCTGCTCGCGCGGCAGGCAGATCAGCAGGCCGCCGGACGTCTCGGCCGAGTGGCCCTGAAGCAGCTGGAACATGTTGCCGCACGCCTTGGCCACGGCCGCCATCTTCGCGATCACCGGCAAGTTGTGGATCACGAAGCTCACCTCGTTCTTCTGATGGGATGCCAGGGTCTGCGCGTGGCCCAGCAGGCCGAAGCCCGTCACGTCCGTGGACCCGTGGGCGTTGTACTTGTGCATGAGGCGCGCCGCGATGCGATTCAGGCGCGCCATCGAGTCCATGGCACGGTGATACGCCTTCCGCACGTCCTCCTCCGTCACCACCAGCTTGATGCGGTTCCAGCGCTCCGGCTGGTCCAGCCACTGGTGTGCATTCACCGCCACCTGCGTGCCCAGCGGCTTCGTCAGCACCAGCACGTCGCCCACCACGGCGTTGTCCGGCACGATGTACTCGTTCGGCTGGCAGATGGTCGACGCCACGCCGCCGATCGTGCACCACGGGTTCACCACGCTCTGGCCGCCCGTCACCGAGCACCCGGCCTCCAGGGCAGAGTCCTGCGGAAGGGAGAACAGTGAGATTCGCTCTAGACTTTCGCAATCCAATAAAAGATCACACGGGAATAATTCCGCCTCACCTTGAATCCCCGCATGATGAGCGGAATGACGACGTCGCGCTCCTTCTCGGTCATCTTGGTGCTCACGGCCAGGAGCATGAGCATGTTATCGCACTCCGTGACGCCCATGGCGTAGAGATCGCTCAGCACGTTGGCGCACGCGATCTTGCCCATCATGTAGGGATCGTCGACGATGGGGTAGAAGAAGTCCGTGGTCTGCACGAGGCACAGCCCGCCGTGGCGCAGGGGCGTCACGGAGCAGTCCAGGCCGATGCCGATGCGCGGCAGGGACATGTGCATGAAGTGGGCATGCTCGTGTTCCGGCGCTGAGTAGTCCTGCTGCAGCGACGACACCAGCTTCGTGAGCACCTCCTGTGGCACTTTGCAGCCGCGCCCCTTCAAGTCGGCGAACCGCGTGAGCCGGAAAGTGGCCTCCAGGTCGTGGGCCGTGGGATCGAAGGGACGCCTGAGGCCGAGAGCGTTGCCCTGCAGCTCCACAGACGCCAGCCCCAGCGAGTCCTGTCCCACATTCTGATAGTCACCCATCTTCTCAGCGTGCTCAGCTACCTGTGCGGTGTCTCAATCAGCCAACAACTGTGCGGTGTGTGCCCCAAAAAGCCGCCTGAAAGGGAAAAACGGGCAGACGCTCAAGATGGCGGACAGCAAATAGTCGCATTCCCCCAAAGCCATAGAATGAGACAAACCATGGAGCCGCTATCGGCACCTTTTTCCCACATTTTTCACCTACTTCTCCTCCCAACTCCACCACCCGACGCGCCCCCGGGTGCTTCCGCCGCCACCTACCTCAGTGTACAACGAGGAAATCCAGTCAAAACGCCAATTTACGCGGAGAAATGGCAAACACAGGCAAATCGCCTCACCATATACTTTACGACTATGGTCAGTGTTTTGACGAGACGCATGCGCAGGGGAGATTTTCCCGCACGCTCATTGGCCGGTGGAATTTCAGGAGCCGTCAATTACTAATATGACTCCTCGTCGGTCTTTCAAAATAACTGATAAACACGGAATTTGTCGCGCAAACCGCCCAAGAGGGATGCTAACTCGGCCCCAGGGCTATCTGAATTCCTCTCCGGGCGTCTATGACACTCCTCAGGGGCATTTTCGCGATTTTCCGCGGAAAATTTGTGATCATCTTGTAGGGCGACAGTGGCGACACCATGTGGGCACCGCTCAAAAAACCCAGTGCTGTTGTCAAATTCGTGTCGCAAGAGAAACATTTTCCTCGCAAAATACCTCTTTTCTCAAGAATTGCAGTGGGATTTTTGCACAAATTGCTGGCAACAATGTGTCCTCTTGCGCCGCAGTGAAGAGAAGAGGAATTCCCAGTGATCTGCAGAGATTTCCACCCTTACAGCCTTCCTAACCTGAAAAAGCCATGGATGACCAAGTTTGTCCGCGATGCAAGACAACAAAGTACCGGAATCCCTCCCTGAAGCTCATGGTGAATGTCTGTGGGCATACGCTATGTGAGAGCTGTGTGGATTTGCTCTTCCTCAAAGGTGAGACGCCCGAGAAAGACTGTTGCGCAGAATGTGTTTTGCAATGTGATGTAATTTTCAGGCTCCGGCGCTTGTCCGGAATGCAATGTTCCCCTGCGGCGAAGCAACTTCCGCATCCAGCTGTTTGAGGATCCAATGGTGGAGAAGGAGGTGAACATCCGAAAGCGCATCCTGCGTGACTACAACAAGAAAGAGGACGACTTCGACAGCCTCGAGGAGTTCAACAATTACCTGGAAGAGATTGAGTTGATTGTGTTCAATTTGGCGAATGACATCGACATCGTGAACACCAACAAGCGCATTGAGCAGTACAAGAAGGACAACCGGGAGGTGATCACGAAGAACAAGGGCAGAATCGGTCGCGAGGAGTACGAGCTGGACGAGATGATTGAGGAGGAGAAGCAGATACAGGAGGAGCGACAGAAGCAGCTGCAGCAGTTGGAGCAGGAGAACAAGAAGAAGAAGCTCCGCGAGAAGGAGGCTCTGATAGATGAGTTGATGTCCAGTCATCAGAATGCGGCGGATATTGTGAGTGTGTATGCGAAGAAGGCCGAGCAGACGCAGGAGGAGGCCAAGGTGATCCCCGTGGCGAAGGCGACACAGTTCTCCACGGGCATTAAGTTCTCTCGGAGTGGGCAACAGGGATTCCTGCCGGTGCCGAAGCTGGAAGAGGGTCCATTGTACAGTTACAAGCCGCTGATTAAGACTTTTGATGGTCCGGAACCACCGCAAGAAGAGGAAATCCTTTCTTCGGGCTACATAAAACACATTCGGTGAGTATTGCTGGGCGAAAACTCTCTCAAACTCATTTCATAATGCTGGTGATTGTTCTTGGCAGTGCTGAAACCTCTCAGGAGAAGGCTGGAGGATATACGGCGATTTATGCGTGCCAGAGAGCTCTTCAGGAAGCTCTGCAAGGCCTCTACGACTGACCGTCCAAGATTTCTATAGGTAAATAGCTTTTAAAAATTGTTTTTTTCATTGAAATAAAAGAAGGACTCCCAATTGAGGGGATATTTTGGTCTTCTGGCCTGCGTGGCTTTGCATACATCCCGGCAGTGTGACTCTCAGGTGAGATGGTCTCTCTGGCGTGACTGTGCTTGAGGCTCGAGAGAGCGAACAAGGTGTAAAAAAGCGTCGGAGGTGGAGTTTAAATGGTCGGAAGGCGTGTCGAAGGCCTACGCATGCGTGCTGTGGCGCGGAAGTTATCAGAGATGCGGTCAGGAGTGGGTGAAAAAGGGACGACATGGCCATTTGGCGCGGATGATCGAGGAAGAATGGAAGTCAGCAAGGGAGATTTTGGCGGCCAAGCAGCCAGGAAACTTGTGGGTGGCTTTGGTGAGATGCTGGAGATTGTGCTCCACGTGGTGTGAATCCGTGGCCAGGCATCTCTGCCATTCGACACATCAGCGTGGCAATAAAAGATGATTATGTGAATTTCTATACGTGTTTTTTTTTCTTGCTGTAGCCCAGCGAGGCTCCTTGTGTTGGGCCACCTTTTCACATGTCTGGATCCTCGCCGGCCGCGCACAGAAGAAAGCCGTGCATGGGGCAAAACTGATGATTATTGCCAAAGGAAGATTGGGCGCGATGTGAATGAAGAAGACAAGTCAAAGAAGTCGGCAAAAGCCATTTACTTCACTGACCAAGAAGAAGTTGTACATAAGGCCTGTTAGATGTGGAAAAGGGAATTTTTTGATTCATTCCTTTGATCTCTGAGCGGTTTCCGTTTGCCGGCAATCCAAAGCTCCGTCCATTTCTCACTCGCGGGCCCCCGATGATCACTTTCAGAGATGCAGACTCCGCGCTACGACAATGCACTTCGATGATATCAATAAAATTACCTTCTCTTCCACACTCGCGGAGTCACGGTTAAAGCGGTGATACTCCAGCCAAAACCCCTAATTGATTTTACATTAGGATCGCGCGCATGGGGTATTTATGAGGGCATATCTTTGGTGGTTCAGCCTTGCTCAACCGGTATTATATGCAAAAGGTCGATGTCACTTTCGGGCTGAAATTTTTGCTGTAATCTACACAAGCCAAAATGATAATTTTCCTGGGCGAGGAGAGATAAGAGATCTGAAGGAATCGTCGCATTATATGATTTTACAGTCCTGTTTTCTCCTTCTGCACACTTTTCCAGGTATTTGCTGAAGATGTTTCTTCACTGCAATGCCGCTCTAAATGCCACACAATAGAGCTCTGCAGAGGTTTGCATAAATCGCAGCCTCTGCAGCCCCTGAGATTTGGGAATTTCCCATGGGTTTTCCCCCAAAAACGAGCCATTTTTTACACTTGCCTACACTTAGCCAAGGGTCCAGGCCATAGAGAGGATCACCATAAATGCATAAAAATGCCCGAAAGGCTGAAAAGCGAGATGGATAGAGGAGGCCAAGCGCTTGTCCAAGGAAGGGAAGAGATGCCGAATGAACAAAGCCACTTTTGGGGCGCATGTCGCTTCTCTTTGGGCAACCTTCATCCCCTCTGAAGTGGGTAGCATCAGTTGCTTGGAGGTTTTCGTCCTGAGCAGTTTGGGGTTGCTGACGCGAGAGGAGTGAGAGATTTTTTGGAGTGTGTGGAGGCAAAGAAAAAGAGAGGCGCTACAACAGCCCAGAAAAAGACACGAAGACTGAAGTCGGATTTTGTGTTGCGCCGGCTTCCAAGTCAACACACTTTGAGTCGTACTTTCAGTCCAATCTGAGTCTCTAACGTGGAATGTTGCGAGTGTGAAACACCCATGAGATTCTCGTGCCATCCCGTCAATAGTGAAGTCTCTCGCCTGTAATGAGAAAGTGAGAGTCTGAGGAAAGTGCAGGAAATCCTCATCAAGGCAAACAACTTGAGAACAGTGGACATTTAGCGAATTTTGTATAGAGAACAGGAAAAAAAAAGAGAAGAAACAGTGCGATTGAATTCCTCCCATTTGCACACTGGCGAGTGTCTCTCAAATGTATCCCGAGAGGAGTGAGAGTGTTGTGTTTGGATGATCGGGGAGTATTTAACGATTTAAATATAAATTAATTAGGGGAGACGCCGAGAAGTGTGTGCTTGGAAAGTAAACCGATGAAACAGATGTAATCTTCGAAATTACACCCAAGTTCGCTCAAATCGTGTGACGCTCAGCAGTTTCCAGCTAAAAATATTCCGCGAGAGGAAGGAACACAAGAGCAAAGGTATCTTATTTTGTCACCACTTTCATTACTCAATTTTCTCACTCCCTTTTCTCCCATTTGTGACCGTCATTCTGCCATCCTTTCCAACTCACTGTCTCAATTAATGTGACAAATTTCACATCATCTGCCTCTTGAAATGAGTATTCAAAGAGAGATATTCCCAGTGCCATGATTAATGTGAAAACCAGAGAACAAAGTGTTGATTTGCTTTAATTTGATGAACTTCTTAAACACCTACGGTTCTGCAAAATGTCCAAAAATCTTGACCCGCACTTCTCTATATCGAGAGATTTGTGTCTAATTGAATTGATAATAGTTTTTATCATAAAAGATTGGTGATTAATATAAATCTTTTGAGCTCATTTACAACATCATAATTTAAGATTTTTTCTGCTATGGTCATAAATTTTTCTTTACAATTTCCTAGACATTTCATTACGATATATTTTAGAAATTTATGGACAGCAAAGTCAGAATAGCAAAATAGCCAAAAAATCTTGTTGATTGAAAATCAACGAAAATAGCGCAAAAACTTGATGAAATTCAGCGAAAAGTTTGAGACTAAATTTTCTGGAAGAGCCTGAGTTATAAATTGTTTATCCATTGATGTGTGAAAAGGAGATCATCATGCCAATTAGCAAATTCCGCACAATAACGAATTTTTCAACACCACAATTTCCTGTTAAACTCTTCCCTCAATAACACACTCCGTACCATAAATCGCCGTTATTTGATGAAGAAAATTCTAATAAATCTCTAGAGTCGCACACACTCTAAACAAAGTGCGCTCTCCTACACTCTTCACCCTCCCGAAAAAGCCACTCTTCCTGGGCGCAACTTCCTCCGCGAAGAATTTGTGTGGCTCTTCGAGGCTCCACACGGCTGGCGATATTTACATACGGAGCTGTGTGAGGAGAAGTGCGGCGAAATTGCGCAAAATTATCATGTTCAGCGGTGGAAAGTATTTAGTGCATCTGTTAGTAAATAAATCACTCATTTCCACTTCATTAACTCCACGGCATTGGGTGTTCCGAACGCCCTCGAGGCGCAAATGTGTCCAGGAGGTGCCCGACAGCCCACCGCTCCCCGGCCCACATTAATAATGATGCCTATAAAGTTTGTTCTTTGGCCACCTTGCAAATATCCGAGCCATTTGCTGGCCGAAAATTATTATTAATATTGATGATGATGCTATGGTCATTGCCACAGTTTATGCAAATCACTGCCCAGACAGATAATCTCTTATTTCGCACAACATCATCAGCGTTTCTGGCGTTGGAGCATCATAACCAGAATTATTGAAGAAGATATTGGCTAATGGAGTGGCTGCGGACAACAAGGGGTTGGCAAATCAGGGATTTTGGTTAGTAGAGCGCTGGGGAAAACATTATCACGACATTAAATACAAACAAAGAGACTTTTTCACTGTGAAAAATCACTGTGAATGTGTGAAACTACGATAGTGGAATCTTTAAATTAACAATAATATCCTGAAATATCCCAAATCTACTCTAGAAGTCCTGTTTTTCGTGAGATTTCCTCATGTTGCGACATTCACAAGATCAAATCCTGATCCCAGCAATTCTTTTAACGCTTTTCACACCAATTATCCACCCCTGAGTGGTGGTCAGACACACAAATTTATAATTTAGTGAGCATAAAACGTCCAGCACTGAGGACTGATTTTCAATTTCATTGTCACCAACTCACCCACGCTCGTGTGCAAAAAGCCCCAAAAGCATTAAGTGCAGGAGGTTTTGAGACAAAGAGGAGCTCTTCGGGAGGAATTTGGACATTCCCCTGAGAGAGACAGGAAAAAAACAAGAGAGAGACTCTCGTGTCGAGATAAGAATGTGTAGAGGAAAATATGAGAATGTCAATATGAGATTTGATTAAAATTGCACCCACATTTTCATTGTTGTTCTTGTGCTCTGGCACAAGTCATAAATAACATGAATTTCTCGAGGGGTGCCTTTTCTTCTGGGCATCATGCGAGATTCTTCCCTCGACATTCTGGACGGGCATGAATGAAATTCCACAGAATATTATTAGCCAAATCCTCATTGTGCCACAATCCATCTGTGCTTTTTTCTCCTCTCCTCCATGGCCGCGCATAAACTCTGATCTCTCTCGCTAACTGGCGTTGTTGTTCTTTCAGGGAAAGCCAGGCTGCAGTGATCGGGAGGATGACCAGGCGGGTGCTGTCTCCAGGCCACAATGTGAAGTTCAATGCAGTGCAGTGTGTTTGCCATTGGCAAGAGTAATTGCAAAATTGTGTTGTGCGGCTGGTGTGAGAATATTTTTTTATTCGCCGCAAAGGCTGTTCGTGGACCGCTGAAGGCGATTTTTAGAACAATTCACAAGAGTCACAGAGACCATAAATAATTGTTGGGTGCATAATTGGCATAGTTGGTCCTCTCTCTCCCTCTCGCTCAACCCCCTTTTGGTGGACACTTAAATCTCCTGCACCACGAGTGGCAAATATGACCCGAATATATGTGAAAATATCGAATGACAAATTGAGCGGAGCGACCGAGTGCTGGGACGGCACCACGGCGACCACCATCTCGATGAGGAGTACCAGGAAGATGAAGAAAACTCACGTTTCAGCAATGGGCTTCATATTGCTGCTGCTGACGGTGCTCGTGGATTTGACCTCGGCGAGCTGGTGGTGAGTTGTGAATTCCATACTTTATTATTTATTGACATCCACAGCATGGCCAATTCTCTCCCATGACTCACTCTTCGACACTTTTATTCCGACCCAGGAGTGCCCCAACAGAATGGCGCACACAGAAAGCGGGGAATTCGGGATTGTTTGGCGTGAAGCATTGCAAAATATGAGAAATGATGAATGAATGTTTGAAATTTATCACCAACAGATTAGCAAATCTTGCCCAAAAAGAACAAACACTCCACTTGCTTGCACTCTAATCCACCCCACAGAGTCCATTTCATGGGGCACAATGGGTGAGTATTCCGTGTAATAAACGTGTCACAAGGCGGCAGGGCATGGAGGGATTTGTGGTCGAAAGAGCAATATTTAATGTGATTGTGCGGTGAAGAAATTTGTGATATTAGCCGCTCTGGTGATCCCATGAATAGTCGGGAGCCAGATGTGAACAACGTCCAGGGCGGCAATTGTGTCCCTCTCGGAGCAAAAGAGTGTATGGTTTATTGAATTCTTTTTCTGCTCTCTCTCTTGACACGGCATGCTTTTAATGGTTTTGGCTCTTGGGATGGCGCAATTCAATGAGATCCCCGGCAAGAGTGTCCAAATCTCACTATGTGCTCTCGTTGAAATGTAAACTATTAAGTGCCGAGGGGTGTGGAGTAATTAAAGTGGACAATTTCTATGCCACACACACATACACAAACGGTGTGGATAAAGTTTTGCACTCACGAAAATACTAGGATTGCTCATAAGCGGGCAAAGCCACGGGCTGGACAATTGATTGTGACAATAATAGCCCTCCTGGTGGGGGAGAATTTCATGCTTCTGGATGGTGAACAATGTTAATGATGCATATAATCATTTTTATGTTGTCGTCCGCAATTTTTCCACTTTGTCGGATTCAGTGGATTTTAATTTTGTCCGCCTCAGGCTAGCTAAAATATAATTTTCATCCGAAATTGCCGAGAAGTTTCAAATGCATAGGAGAATATGTGGCCCGTTTTCATGGTTAATCCTTATATGTGAACACCTTATGGCGCACCGTTAGTGGTATTTTGTGCAAAAAGGGGCCATTCTGGGTAGAATTCATGTTATCGTCTTTGTTGCAAAACTCTTGGCAAATCATTCTGCTGAAGCATCAGGAATATTTTGCAACTTTCATCATGTAGTTTTAATATCTGGTGCGGAACATTTTATGGGCACATTTCTAATCCTCCTGGGCTGGATTTAGAGTTGATGGAGTGTTGTTTGAAAGGCATGACGCATTCTTGTCTCATATCCAGACTTTAAATGTATACTCGGCTCCTCTTCACTCTGGCCATCATCTTACTCTTGAGTGTCTACGCGATCCTCCCTAATCGCATGATAATTGTGGAGTCTCTCCTAGTTTCAATATCAGACAAATTAATAAAGATAACCCCGACGAGGAAGACGAAGAGGAGTGTCTGGACAATGCGGACAATAGCTGCTCGTTGAGGGGAAAAAATCCCGTGATGGCCTTTTTATTCCTTTCCTCCTCAATCGCTCAAGGAATTTTAATAACTCCCCTGAAATGAAAAATTCATCCTCCTATCGATTGACTGGAGCAAGTGATTTTTGTTGTTAAACATAAATTCCTGCCTCGGCACTCATCGAACACTCCCTGACAGAAGGGGGATAATTTTCTAATGATTCCCTGTGTCATGGGAGAACCACCTATGGTGGAATATAAAAGGGTGAGTGGGACATGAGAATGGAGTGAGGAGGAGAGCAAGAGCCGAGAGTCTCGGAGGGCCACAAATTCCAGAGCATTTCATTTCTCACAATGAACCGTGAAAAATTTCGTGGGGTATTAATATGCCTCTTAAGTGCGTGGAGGATTTTCTTCAGTGCGCACAATGGAAAATGTTGCTAATGATGACGATGTGGAGTCTGGGATTCATTTGCTGTAATGTGTGTTTATCTCTTCATGTCTTATACAACAGGTATAAATACCCACTTTTCCCCACTTTTCTTTTGCCTTTTTCATCACAATTTGGGTGAATTGGGAAAAAAATATCGGAAGATTTTATTCAGTTGCCACTCCAGAGTTGATAGTCACTTGGAAAAGAGAAGGAATTGATGGTGGAAAAGGGGCTTATTTTGAAGAATCCCTAACTCTAGTTGTGGATCGAAACTCTCTCAACTTTCCAATAAGTGAGGAAATTTGATAAAAGATCTGAAATTTACTTCATACTCACTTGCAGAATTCTATGAATTCTGAACCTCATCTATTACTTGTTCAAATTTCTTTGGAATCGTTTTTTCACCAACTATCTTTGTTGATATGATTTCCAAAACATTATGTATTTGTATTTTATATAATAAATTAATTCTTGAAGCCGCTGAACTTGATCAGTTCTTCTGGAAAGTAATTAATTTGCAAGTTTATTTATTTCAATATTCCGCATTGGCCTATGAACTACTATTATTCCCATATAAACTAGAAAAGACTCTCAGCCTGTGAATCTCAAATCTAATTGAATATAGGAGAAGTACACATGATTCCTCTCCTTCTAATAAGCTCAATTTGTATGTCTGAATTCCCAATTCTGTGGGTGTAAACAAAACACATGATGAGATGAAGAGTGAAGAGGAGCCACGAAATCCTGGCGTTTTACGAGACTCACGTGTGAAAAACATGCCCTCACGCGTTCTTTCTCCGTTGAGAAGCTTATGGGAAGAATTTGTCACTAATTAGTCGATCGGATGGAGTGGCTGTTTCGTGGCTCCCACACATGAAGTTTCACCCATGGATTTGTGGGTAAATTATGGCTGATACACTCTTCGAATCTCGCCCGGTGGAGAGAAAAATCGCGTGAATGAAGACACAAAAATATGATATTCTTCCTCTCTAAGTCATTGCGCAATACGGGGGAGAGAATGAGTGTAGTTGCTGGATGAGACTTCTTGCTTGAGTATGCAATTATCAATTTAATACTGTAGTGATTGCAATCTAAGTAGAAAAAAAAACTCCTGTGCGAAACCTGCCATGATCAACATCGAAGAAGAAGAAGCAGAGTGGAGTTTACAAGGAGAAATGACACGACCACATGAGTCGCGATTCAATTTCTACCGCTAATTTATATTTTGTAATTATTAATTATTTTTTAAGAGGTGGATATTTGCGTAGATTGTACATTAACTTCTCATTAGTTCCATGCATTTGCAAATCGTCAGGGGAATAAATTGTGCAAATTTATTGAAATATCTTCTTCTGCAGCAGCAAATCCAACCCAAGTCACTCCGCAAAAAGGTGAATACAAAGTACAAGCACACAACTCCATTTCAATCTCACTTGGATACTCGATAGAGCTATTAAATTTTCCCTTTCCCTTCACTATCCATGAATCACATTCCAGCCGCCAATATTTTCATATCTCCGCGGAAATTTAATTACACTTAGTGCGCCGCTCCGTGTGCTGTTTCTCTTGGGGGTCAAAAAGGGAGGCCCCCGAAAATATGTGCAATCACACCGTGCAAACCATGGGAAATCACTTAAGGAGCCCTCGATTAAAATACCGTAAAATGCATTAATGATAGCAATTGAGTGGTTAATTAATGAAATGTACCCGCAACACAGATAATTTGTTCATTAAGCGTCATTTTAAAATATTTATGGAAAGTTGATTTAGGGTGATACATGCTATAAACTTGAATTTCTTACTGATATGCGGCGATTATGTCAATCAGATTTATGTTAAATTGAATTCAATAATTATTGCAATCTTCCATCAGTTTCGACTTTTTCCACCGAACGCACCTTCGCCCGTGCACATTTTCATCCCCAAGGGGTGTGCAACTGTGCGATGCAATGCATGGTAATCTGTGCGCAGACTTGGGGTCTGTGGCCCCTCGATGACTGGCATCGATTAGCCATAAACAAATGGCAAGAATGAGAAGGAAATTTGTGTGCATGGAAGTATTGAGGAAGCGTGATTTTACCTTTTAGCTGAGCGAGATAAAAGACATGAAGGGTACAAAACGAGTTCCATGGCACTTTTCCCAGCACCAACAGTCACACTGGAATTGGCAACGAGCTCCAGTGGGGCTCCCACTCGTCGCACATGGCTCATGCGGTGGGCCCCCAGTTGGGACACTCATGGAGTGTTTATTGCCTGAAAAATAAGTTAATAAGTGACTCTCTGAAATTCATCTCCTCAACAAATCGATTCCACATCGTCAGTCTCTTTGGAGACTGTGTGCCGGGCGAGCGGGGGGCCTCGAATGGGGGCGAATCGGCACAAGATTGTGTCTCTGAGAAATGAAGATGTTTTGAAGATGAAATATGAGGAGGGATTAATAGACACAATCTCTGATGGGACAGAGTCGTAAAAGTGGACTCTTTTACGATTGCTCCGAAGCATAACATCATCTCAAGTGCACTTTTGTGAGCGGAGAGGAACATTAGAGAGTGTCTTTATTTGATGCTGTCTGAGTGCTGAATTTTTCACCCAACCAGTTGTGTGATTGATTGATTATTTGTGTTTCGGCGGGACATAATTCACGCCAATAAATTCACCCGGATAACCTCGTGCTAATCCACAATGGAAATTCAGTGGGAAAATTCAGTCCTTCTTTGTCTCTCAGGGTGTGTTTTGATTTAATTCCGTGGCCAGATTCCATCCATGTCATGGCCATTGTGAGGAATCACTTGTCCGTGTGAGCGTTTTGTGGATTTTTGCATAGATTTGACACACATTGCATAGACACACGGAGTCAACATTAATTCCCAGTCACGATCTGTCCCTGGGCGGCAGGGGGAGGGGTGGGGGGCGAAGGGACGGGCGCGGAAAGTGGCCGGCGGAGCAGCATGCAGAAAAAATAAAGATCCGACGACACACAAATGATTTATCCAACCATGCAAGAGCACCTTCGAGATCATAAATTTCATTTCAATTACCCATCCGAGACTTCTTCTTCTCCCGACAATTCACGTACGATTTTCACATGAATTTCCCATCTCATTCTCGCTCTGC